TTGAGATTCTGATTCTGGGTGACTGTTTTGATGAAAGGTTGGATGGAATCACTTGGCCCAGCAGCCTCCAAAGTTTGACATTCGGTTTTGACTTCAACCAGCCCGTGTATGGCGTTTCTTGGCCCAAGACGTTGCAATCGCTCACCTTTGGAGAGAGCTTCGATCAGGACTTGCAGGGTGTGACGTGGCCAGAGAGTCTGCAGCATTTGAAGCTTCGGTTTGAATTCTGTGTAGCGTGAGTCGAGTAGTGTAGGTTGCGGTGTAGGAGTTGTGTGATGTACTGGTAGTCACCGGTAGTAGTCTAGAGTCCTCATCTCCATCTTTGCGGAATGGACGAAGGTTTTGGAAGGTACACCCGGGGAGATTAACATGGAACCTGAATATGGACCTTTGGAAGATGGTTTTCTCTACAACCTGCGCTGCCGCGCTGCCACTGAAAAAGGGCGGGCTTGAGCTTCGAGAAGCTCTGACACCTCAGAACAGGACTGAGCAAACCGGGGACCCAGCTATGGCATCTCAGAGGTCCCTCGTCCCTCCCTGGAAGAGCCATTTGGGGATGGATCAAATCCTCGGAACACCTAATCCCTGTTAGGTTGACCTTCCATTTACAGTGGTTTGCTTTCGGTTCGATGGCACCTCAACCAGATGTCCGAAAAACAGCATGGGTTTTCCACTAAACCACCTCTCCATTGGGCTCTGTGCTGGTCCACCCGGCTCCCTGTTCGATCCTTTCCGTTTCACCCGGTCCGTGACGCGGTTGGCGGTTTCCGGGTTGGTGAGAGAAGGCGGTGGGAGAAGGCGGGGGGGGGTGCGAAGCAAGAGTGCTCAGGAACTTTGGTGTGTGCTTCAATGTGAGTGTGGATGGTGTGCCGTGGCCCAGACATCTTCGGAGTCTCAAGTTCGGTGGTCACTTCAATCAGAGCTTGGAAGGCGTGACATTGCCCGACACGTTGGAGAGCTTGACGTTTGGGCATCGCTTCGACCAGAGCCTGGATGGAGTGAATTTGCCCCATAGCCTTCAGAGCTTGACTTTTGACAATTATTTCAACCAAAGCTTGAATGGAGTCACCTTGCCTAGCAACCTTCAGCACTTGACCTTTGGCAACGAATTCAACCAGAGTCTGGAGCAAGTGACTTTTCCTGAGCACCTTCAAAGTCTGACGTTTGGAGATGATTTTGACCAAAGCTTGGAGCAGGTGGTATGGCCCAGCAACTTGAAATCCCTGACCTTGGGACAACATTTCAACCAAAGCTTGCTGAAGGATGGGACTTTGCCCACCACTTTGCTGCGCCTCGACTTGAAGGGCCTGATCTTGAGCGCCGAAGGGCGGGAGAACTCACCGAGCGCTCCGGTGGTCCACCCACCGAGCTGCTTTGCCACGTGACAGGTACGGTCGTACCACGTGTCACACCGTGATGTGTCGGACGGGCACCATGGTGTGTCGGTACGGGCGGTGTTTGGCGTGCGTGAGAGAAAGGAAGCAAGCAACATAGGAGGGGGTGGCCAGGTGGAGATGGCAAAAAAATATGGAAAAAGAATGGAAGATTCCTGTGTGTTGACTAGGTGACCCGAGTCTAGGATCTTCCTTTACTTCAGTGGCGGGCAACATATAGTCGAACTGGACTTCTGGGGTTTAGTTGGGTCGCCCCCAAGTGGCACTTGGAGGGAACGTCTTCGTGAAGATCGTGAGTGACCTACACACACACAGACACCTGTTGTGAGTTTTTGTGTCTGTCTTTGTTGCGAGGAGGTGGATAGGGTTCACCGGTGAGGCCCCCAGCCAGTCCCAGTGCCGGTCCCAGTATGAAGACAAGCGGTTTGGCGGTTTGGTGTAAAGCCACGGAACCCATGAAACCCAATGGAACCGAACGCAGAACGCACACCATGTCCACCTGGCTTTCCCTACTCCAGGTCCGACCTGTCAGGACTCCTAAACACCTCAGAAGACGAGTAGTTGGAAAATATGTTGGAGTGTGCAAGTAGATGACCAACCTCCAGTCAAGTCTGAGGTCCGTTCCTGACCAAGAACTGGCTTCCTCTCCCCAAAACCCCGCGAACAAACCGGCCACGTTTCTGGTGCTCCTCCCTTGACATCTGCGTTGACCGCGAACCAACCCTTAGGCTCCTGGCCCACATCCTCAGAAGGTGGTTAGAGCTGTAGTGGGCCAGGAGCCTCCACCGGGAAAAAAACCCGGTCGCCCAGTCCCACATCTCGCCCAGTCCGGGATGGCGCCGACCGTTTCCCGGCCCGTCCGCCCCACCGACCCGTTTGGAGTCAGCCCGTCACTTCACTCGTGGCCGGACTCGAACGGCCTTCCGCTCCAGGAGTCCGATGAAGTGGAGGAGAAGCCGGAGAAGGTCTCTTCGGCGCGCGGCGTCTTGTGGGTGGCCAACGTGTGTCTTGGCGAGCGGGGTGTCTTGGGCGCGTCCACGCCGAGGCGTTTTCAGGAGAGGAGGGTGAGGAGGAGCCAGCTTCCAGCTTGAACGTCAGAGGCGACCCGGCACGGCACCCGAAGCCAACTGCTACATATTTGAGGTTCAAAACCCTAGTTGTGAGGGTCAAGACCCAAAAGCTATATGAAGGTCCTATGAGCCTTTGGGGAGGATCTCTCTCTCTCTCTATACATACATATATATATATATATAAAGTTTCTTTTTTGGACAGGGCACTTAGACTATCTTGGACTTGTTTGGCGGCCCAAACCCGTTCACTTCTGGCCCTTTGGGTTGGTTGGAAGAGAGCCCATTTTCCAGGAGGACCACTTTTTTGGTGCTTCCCTTGCTTGGTGGACCATCAGGCCGGTGGCCTGTTCGAGCCCAGGTTTTTCGGGTCGATCGGAGGGCGCGTTTGAAGCTTCCAGGGGTAACTGGAGGCCACAACTTGCGGCCCATAGTTCCAGTTGCAGTGGGGGAAGATCATAGCCAAACTCCCGGCAAAGACCCGCGCAGAGGCTGTCGGGTTTCACAAGGTACGACCCAAAGACCGGAGTTCCCTGTTGGGATGGCACCGCTGAGCTTCTCCAAGTTCGGCACCCCAACGTCTCTCCTTCCAGCCACCCGACGTGACGTCTCTCGCGGGTGGTGCTGATCCTGGGCATTGGTTTCGTTCTTTTGACCTTGGAGCTTTTTTCTTCAGACTCGGGCCAAGGGGACCAAGAAAAACAACAAGTCCATGTCTCGGGATTTGCCCCTCAGACATTGACGGTGTCTTTTTGTTTTTGCTAAAGAAGGGCATAGTGATACTCAACGGTTTGTAGGTAATCGTAAAAGTCACTGTAACTGCTGCAGTTATGGCTTTACATTGGACTTTCATAGGGGAAACATATCAACAAATTTGACAGCGCAAAGGGTTCAGTTAATAATGACATAACACACACACATTTACAACTGTATTGCAGAACTTCACCACGGTTTAAGAAGAAGCAACATCAAACATTCAATTTTTACAGATGATATTGCGAAGGTAGGCTGTAGTTAAGGTTCACCCCTTTGCCGCTAAGAACCTTCTTAGATAACACCTATCGATCTATTTGATTGTTTATCAAAAGATTGGTTAAGGATGGGGTTCATGTACTATAGCCTATAGCTTGAAAGAAGCATGGAAGCAACAAAGTGCATAGAATGACTCATTTCTGAGAATACTATTCACTTTACATGGTAGTGGCTATAACAAACTAGAATAGAATTATATATTTGATTAAGATCTTTTGAGATTGTATTTTTGGATTCTTGAATAGACATACAAGAGCTTTATTTGTTTACAGTGTTTTTACCTAAATACCACAATCCTGAGCACAATAGTATTTCAATTATAGTTTGTAATATAGAACATTTTGATTTCTATCAGTGATACTTCTTCTAAATTATAGTTCTTGCAAATTTATAACTATATACTTTAAACAATAATCGTATAGATTATATATATATTTTCAGGTCAGATGACTTAGGCCAGGTTGGCTGAAGTGACATACAACTTTCCCAAGGAAAGGTCTAAGTCATGTAGAAGTGTAAAACCTACAATTTCAGTGGCAAACACTCTTGAAATAGGCCATTCCATCGTTCTTTTTTGGTCCTCTTCCTGGAAGTTTAGAGCTAATGAAAGAGAACATGTCATAGGAATGTCACTATGTCTTTATCCTTTGCAATAGACGCATGTCATGAATCATGAACGGTTGAGGACTCTCCTACTCGATGTATGGTAGATGATGAAGATTCCCAATTGCTGTACTTTACAAGAGCAATACTATATTCTTAAAACTTTCTTCGATGAGATCAACATTAATGAAGCACATCGTATTACTCAACATGAGTTTGCAGAGCATAACTATAAGCCAGTTGAGCTGTTCCACGTATTTTTTCACATGACATAGAGTAGACGCATATGACCAATAAGAAAAAGCTCTCCAGGGCAGGACGCGGTCAGCGCGCACATTTTGCAGTTAAACTACATTTTAAAAACCATATGGTCAATTTCTTGGAAAATGGCTTGCCAAACAATGACGACTTGTAGTATCATATGGGTCCTTTCCTTGTTATTTTTTTGTACAAATTGCATACCCATGTAATGAGGTAGAAACAGATAAAACACATGAAACACGTGCACTACCACAGCCCCCAGCTCTCCTTTTTTTGCAGAGCTCTGAATACCTGCATCCTTGAACTTGAAACTGATCCTATTTGCTCCCAGAGACAAGGGGTGATGTGTTGCAGAGTGAGATGGTGAGGTATCCCACCAAAGCCTTCCGCTTCGACATGCGCCACATGTTGACGCGCCACAACCATGAGCCCCTTGGGTGACGTCAACATCGAAGGGCCGCCGTTCGGGACCCTCTTTGAGGTCCAAGGTATACGTGGGCATGGAAAAGGCCTTCCATGGAAATGGCCTCCGGATGGCTCGGATGGGTCGCTGTAGGTGAGTGGTGATCGGGGATCTATTTTGGTCGGTGCGTGAAGGCTTCACGGCCTCGGTCGGACCGACTCCTCGATTGGCCCGGCCCGACTGCTCGAGTGGCGTCATCTCCTTTTTCAGGTTTGATTGAGAAAGACCCAACCCAGATTGGGCTGTCAGTCTCCTCAGGAACGGTTTCACAACTAACAGTAACTAACAAACCGAACTGTCTTGTCGTGTTTTGGATGAACAACCAGGTAGACACCGTGCCACTTTGGTGTAGTTTACACAACAGTGGTATGCGGTATACGTACTCCCAACTTCAATTCTAGTCCATATACAAATCACATGACCGAGGGGCCTGTGAGTCGCAGGTGGCTGGTTTTCTCTGGTGGTCGACTGCTTAGCCTGCTTAGTGCATGCTGACCCGCATGCTGCACGGCAAGCTTAGCCTCCTGCTCAGGACCCTCATCCCACAGTTGTTGCCAGATGGTGTGGAGGCACCGGCTCGCCCCCAGGGCAGTGGCCGGGTTGGAAGAAGCGAAGCAGACACCAGCAGTCTAGATTCATACCTTGTAGAATATACCAAGGACCAGAGGTGACCAGAGTAAGAAGTTCACAGAATGTTCTCATCACATCCCATTATCAGATTGTCCTGGTCTGGACCCCTCGGAATGTACCTTCCGGGGTTCCAAGGGTCATCAACAGTTCCATTTGCTCGGCAACCAGTGGCTGCGAACACCACTTCTTCTGCCACCTCGTTCACCCCGTTCATCCCTGAAGCCCTCGATGCACCCGGGACCTTGGCGGCCTCCGACCCGTCCGAGCTCCGGCCCTGGGACGGATGTCCGATCCCTGCGACACCCAGAGGAGAAGTGGAGCGCCTCGGGGAGGGTGAGGTGACCCGTGGGGTCATCGCACCTCCACCGGGGAGCTCGGGGAGGAGCTCGGTGGACTTCCCGAACAGACGAGGAATGTTCCATTCGACCCGAAGCGCAGTCAGCCGGGTTTCTTCGGGTGCCACTGCAGCCAGGTGACACGCATGGTGCCGCGGGAGAAGGAGGGTGGCGCCTTCGTGTACTTTCGAGCACCGCCCACCTTTGTGCTCCAGGCGTTTCGACCGAAGCCCCGCACGACGCGCCATGGGTGGGCAGGAGGATGGGCAGGATGGGAAGGAAGTGGCCATCGATGTTGGGGAAGTTGCAGAATCAGATGAATGTTCTTTGTGATGAGGGCCCAGGGCTCCAGTTGCACATGGAGAAACCTGACCCAGGTCCTGACCCAGGCCCAGTCTCGTGGTTCCGGACAAAACCGGATTGAGTATCGTGTTTTTGTATGCTGAACTCCAGTAAGATGAGGTCAATGAGGTCAGTTCCAGACCTCTAGGGCCTCTAGGGCTTAGGGAAAATCGATCCCTGCAAAGAACGCACCACACCGGGAGTTGGGGAGGCCCTTCGCAACATGGATTTTCTGCACCAGGTTTTGCTGGATGCTTTCGAGATTGTGTGGTTCTCTATATTTATCACTTGTTATGTATTTTTCCTTTTATCAACGAAGTGCAGTTCTACAGTTTGAATGTTTGCCAACCTGCGCCACACCTTCTAAAACATTGCATTTTGTTCATCGGCAAGTAGCTACGGTACCATCATGGAAGCTTGGAAACACCTCCACCCGAAGGCTCATTAGACACTCAGTTCGATAGGGTTTCGACTTTTGGGACCAACATCTATAGCAGTTGCTTCAGATCTATGTGTGTCTGGTGCCTTTCTCACACGGGCTGCGTTGGGTGGAAGGCATCCTCCCATTCACCCCCGACCGAACCGACCAGTGTCACCCCGGACCCGTTAGGCCGACCGACCTACGGCGGTGCTCGCTAGAAGGAACGAATGAACGCCAAGCCACGGATCGTGTGGATCCACATATGACCCCAACAAGCAGCACCGAACCCAACAGGTCTCCTTTGTTTGGAGGGTTGGGAAAGGCCCGAATACAGGTTTCAATTGGTGACCGGACAATTCAGTCGGTGCTGGAATGGTGCAGGTGCATGACCCCAAGAATCCGATGGAGGGCCAGGGGCCAGGGGTTCGGGGTGGACAGTTTCGCGGGTGTCCGGGTGGTTTCAACCACACCCTATCTGTGTTGCTTCGGGGCCCTAAGAATCCGGACAACCTCCCAAAGAGTCCCTGAATGACACCATCCACGACCCAGAGAATGTCACAAAGCCCCGGCAGACCTGGACTCTTCCTTGCACGCCTGTGGCTTTGGGCGGCCGTCTTCCGATTTGTCCGTTGGGGAACCTACATTGATAGGGCCATTCCAACCCCGCCAGGAAGGGCACCACGATAGGGCACCACGATAGGCCCCCTTCCACCGTCGTCTGTCCACCGCTCCGGCCTACGTGTCGGCCCACGTCCGCGACGACACGTCCGGGAGGCCCTGCGCAACCTCGCTGAAAGCAATCCTGAGGCGGTGGGGTTCCAAGTTCCGGGGGAGCGACCGGACCGTACCGATGGAAGGTGCCACGATTCAAGCCGGAAGGCGGGGAATCCTCCGAAACGGTTGTGGGTGTTCCCTTTCTTGGGGAATGGGATTGACAGAAGTGTGGAAGATGGTTGAAAACACAGCTCTTTCAACGGTTGGATCGCAGCATTGTCTTGGGTGAACTCCACTCATTTGTACAGCAGATCTGGAGTCTGCAATTGCCACAAGTGACCATGGACATGTATTGAATTCATAAATGCAGTGCAGCCTCCTACCCGCATCTCTTCACATCCATCGCCGATGGCCATCAAATACAGCAGTGCAGCGTGATCCTGTCGCCCACCACCGCTTTCCTGGTGGTCCGCGCTTTCCGCGGTCGCCTTCTGAGCGCCGTCCTGCGGCGCCCGTGCGAGGTGACGAAGATGCGCTTCGTGCCCACGGACGACATCTTGCTGAAGGTCTCGGAGGGCATCTGCCAATACTTCAGGCGACGTATCGTGGAGGGGGACCGGTTCGAGTCATGGAGGGGGATTCCGGAGGTACGAAAAGAGGAGGGGACGTTCTTTTTCCTCTTCAGTGGTCGGGGTTCGAAGGTATATCTTCATCTAGGTATACCTGGAGAATCAGGGGGGTCCATGGTGACATAGTGGCCTTGGGGGACGTACCAGCTTCTTCACTTCATGACCTATCGACCGAACTTGAGCGTCCCAGCCAGTGACTCTTCACTAGATCCTGGTGCCCGGGATCTCAGTCTGCATCACGAACTCAAGAACCGATTCTGACTCACGAATCTGGAAGCGGAACATGGGCCTTTTGGAAGACCGTTTTTCTCTACCAACAGGTGGTGGTGAACTCCACTGCCTTGTGAATGCCCCGGAGAGTAGATTCTGTGTCATTTCGGTTCAAAGGTGACAGGCTGGATGGGACTAGATGGTCCGCTGACCGATTGATTGGCTAAGAGTGGGGGGCGGTAACTGCCCCACCACGCGACCCTGGACCCTCCTAATTAGCAGGGGCCGGTTCCTGAAAATTCAAGGGATCCAGACCCTCCAAACCCCAAGGTTTTGAGGGACCAAGGCCTGTTTGGACCCAAAGGTGGGAACTTCCCACTGATTGGTAGACCCACAGCTCTCTGAACCCTGAGGTAAGTGGAGATATGAACAAGCAGCATACAAAGCGCATCAAGCTCTAAGAAAATGAGTGATCCCCAGAGGCATCAAGCTCTAATGGCTCCAGAAGAATCGTAAAGAGTGTTGATCCTGATGCTTCGCTTTCGTGGTGTGTTTGAGGAACATTCCCTAGGGCTCCAACCACCTCCTGAGAAGGTGGTTAGACCCCCCAAACCCACATTACCATTTCCACTATGAAACTGGTGGCCTTGAAGAGGTCTTGTCTTGGACGCCGCCAGGACACATGATGTCCGCGCCTTCCTCTGCCCTCATCCAGTGCGTGCGCACCGAGTGAAAGGAACGCCCTACTTAGAGGCCTGGGCCGTAAACAAGCGCGCGCGCGTGTGCGCGCCGTACACGGGGGGAGAGGGCCGCAGCCATGCTTTTGGCATCACTTTGCGGCTAGTGGGATTGGATGGGATTGGAGTTTCTATATATTTATAAAATATGTATAATGTAAACATACCAGAATTCCCTGGAAATGGGTGGTTTGGAAGTAGAGAGAGGACCTTCGTAGAAGTGATCATGCCGATCACCTTAGCCATTTCGGCAACAGCAGCGTGAAGTGCGGCGGATGCTTCCAAAACTGCCAGCTTTGGTCGTTACTCCTCAGTTCCATTCAGTTCCCAGAGTCGTTGACGTAATCAGATTCAGCAATCAGACAGTGCCTGGAGAGCACCTTGACCATGGACCCGTTTCACCCCTCGATCTCCCTCGAAAGCTCCTTCGCTCTTCCTCACCCTTCTTCCCAAGTTCTTGTTCAAGTGGACCCGTTTCACCACGTGTTCTCCCGAAACCTTGGCCCGTCCGTCCATCTCCTTGTCCGCGCCGGCCCCTTTCTTGCAAACTGGTTCACCTTCGTTGGCGCCAGGACTTTGCGAGCCGGTATCCCTCCTCGCAGCTGCAGATTCGCTTCGACCCCACGGGACAGGTCAAAGAGGTGCCGCCTCGCTCGAGCTGCCTTCGCTGCCGAAGACGTTCCGCCGAACGAGCTTCGGACCGGCGGCGGCTACGTTCGTCTGGTGCTCTGTGTGGCGGTCCAAATGGGGGAGGACATATTTCTTGGGCCATTTGGGTGTCAGTTGTCGGCAACTGGTTGAGTGTCAGTTGGCTGTCAGGAAACTGGGAATCTATTGAATGGTCAATGATTGGATGTTATACACGCACTTAGAGCGACTCTACAACATATTCTCCACTTCCATGTTATTTGATTGGATGTCATACATTCTTCCCTGGTCTTCCCGAGTCTTCCCCGGTCCAATCCACGACGTGAGCGCGCCGAAACCCTCCGAACGATGGCAGCGAAGGTCAGGCGAAGGTCCGTCGTCCTGCGGCCGCGGTCGGATGGGCAGGAGCAGCTCTATGAGATTCTCAGGCGTTATGGACAGCTGGAAGACCTCCAGGACAGGGGCTTGGCCCGATTTTGGGGTGGGTTGGTGGGCTGGTAGGGCGGCTGGTCGATTCGCTGGCGGAAGTGGATCAACAGCAGTTGCTAGACACAGGAGCCTCCGATCATCCAACTGACCGTTTTTGGGCCCTCAAGGGACTTCGACCAGATCCCATGTGTGTGTACATATACCTAGATCTTCCAACTTTGCGGAATGTTTTGTATAAAACCAACCAGAAGGCAGACATTTTGCTCAGCTGGTCTAGGTATTACATGCAGGCTATCACATAGAATGACCTCAAACCAGGATATTTTGAAGAACGGGATCATCCTTAATCCATTGGCATGAATCCCATCACAGTTCCTGCAAGATGCAGTGTCCATCCCTTATCCATCATCCTTTTCGTTCACTCGTCCCAACGCCCTAAAACCAATCTTCCAACATGCAACTCGTGGTTGGCGGAAGATCCTCTTCAAGACTCAGCGATTTGGAGCCCCCTGTGTTCGAAAATTCTGCCCTAGTCCACCCAAGCTTTTCGGCCTTCCACCCGTGACCAGCCGTGCGGTGACCTACCAGTGCCCAGCCCTCCTCCCGCCTCCCGTCCGACACCCCCCGTCCCTGCACCGACCTCGCCCCGTCCGGTGTGGTCGCCAGGCCACGGAGCAGGGCTACTTGGCCTCCTTTCGCTACACCGCCGGCGCGGTGGCGGCGCGGAACTGCCTCCACCGGGCGCTGGTGGAGGCCGATGGGGATGGGATGAGTGTTTTGGCCGAAGAGCGAAGGGTAGACGGGAGTCTTCAGCCATAGTAAAGACCTCGGCAGGTTTTTGGACAAAGCCGCTTCCTTTTGTTGGTTGTTGTTCTCGCGATGTTCTCCCCCGGCAGATTCTGTGCTTGGGGTGGGGCAGAAGGGTGGCTTTAGCAGAAACAGTGGATAAGTAGGGAAGTTCGGAAGTGCCTTGTGTCTAAACAGTTTTTTGGAGCTGTCAAGTCTGAACAATGCGATTCCAACAAGTTGCATTTGCCATGCTCCAACTCATGAGCTTCATCATGTGCCCTACGGTTTGACCAGAGCTTGATAAGCTTCATTTGATTGACAAGTGTGCCGGGACATAGGAATTTCTTTGGGTTCCTGACAGCTGTTGCTTTTTGGGGGTACTGAGCCGGGCACAGATCTTCAAGTCTAAGTATCTGACGAGGCCAAGAACGCCGACGGACCGCGGTTCCAGATCGACTACAAGCAGTTCATGCAGTCACTCGGCCGATCTTCTGAGAAACACACTCCCCAGAACTAACAGTGGAAGTGGAAAAGGGCTTCCTTTTCCTCTACAAAAAGAGGGTTTTCCACTTCCAAGATGAGTTGCAGGGAGTTGATCGGAGCCTGGTGACTGGTTCAGTTCGAGACGACCCAGACAGGTTGATCGGTTCGGCCACTTGGCTTGGACGTTCGGTCGACGAAGAGCTAGGCCTACCTGGACCCTCCTGGCCAGGTGTGACGAGAGGTGACAACAGGTGCCCAGAAACCACCTGTGAGGGTCTTCCAACAGCCTGTTAGGGTCTTCAAAGACCTACTGTATATAGCAATATAGCACGTATATACACAATTACATTCTCCTATATTCAAAAGGCAGGTGGTCCTTCTTGGAGAAGGAGAGGGGAAGATTATGTGATCTTAGAGCATTCTATGGCTCCAAATGACAGAGCACGGACCAGCCCCAGCCACCTATATGTTGGCCAAAGAAGAGAACCATGTAGACCCACGTAGACCCACGTATATATGTCTCAGAACAGTCCCAGGAAGTGGATTTGGGAGACGATCACCTCCAACGCGCGGCTCATCTTCCCGATCTTCGTGGTGCTCATGCGCCCCAGCCGCACCGACGCCCCGATCCGATGCGACGATGCGAACCCCGTCCGGAACGACTGAACCGATCGAACCGTCCGGAAGGACTCACTTCGTACGTCGAATTCGTCGGGAAAGCCAGGTTTGGCACGACGTACTTCATCTGGGATCCCATGCGCAGCGCCTTCGTCCACCTGAAGATCGCCTCGATCTTCTCCTCGCCGCCGCCGTCGTCGAAGGCGTCGAACACGGCGGCGCCGTCGTCTGTGGCGAATGGATCTGCGGAGGTGTCCACAGGCGCGGTTGGTGGGTTGGTGGGGCCTGGTGGGGTAGCAGGTTGGGTGGGAAGAGTTGCTTCTGGCAGCGTCTGGTGACATTCTTGAGATCATTCAGTTCAACCAATGGACGCACTGCATTCCAGTATATATTTGGCAGAACTCAATGCACTTCATTCGACGCGAGAACATCGAGAAGGATAAAGAAGCTGCCGAATCACACCAGTTAGAATACTTTGGATGCTTACTCGAATTTTAACATGGCACTTAGTCCAATGGAACGTAGGCAGCTCCTTTCTGGAAGTGCCGAACTCCCAGAAATGGTCGCTGCTTGTCCAACCCTCTAGCACCGCAGCTAGGAAGGGCTCTTGAGGGGCGAAGGGATCGATCGCGAGTGGCTGTGTCGTGGGTGGGAAGAGTTGCTTGAGGCTTTTTGACTTCACCTGTAGAGCAGGAAGAAGGAGATGGCCACCTGACATCACCTGACTCCAGGTCAGGGTTGGCAGAACCCAAAGCCCGTGGAGCTTTTGTTGGAAAAAGGGCCTTAAGATCACCCCAGGATTCCCGCCATTCATTCAATATAGGCTTTACTATCCTTTACCATGGTTTCAGAAAGGATGTTTACACTACGACGCCAGGTTCTTCCCATGTTTGGAACGGGTCTTGAAAGGCGAAAACGGCATCATGATCAGTCGGGCCAGACCGGTCTCGCCGTGCCACCACGGATGTGCCGGTCTCGTGCCACTCTGCATGCCAGCGCTCCGCAGCTGAACCGCGCGTCCGCGTCCGCAGGCTACCAGGGCCTCCAGGGCTTCCTGCTGCGTTTTGTCTCTGAAGCTCGCGCGAGCCTGCGGCCCAAGACCAGCGCCCGAGGCACCAATATCGACGTCCGGCGAGCGGGGAAGGAGGCTGCGGGTTGGGCGAGGCCGCGGGCATGGCTGATTTGTGACTTGCTCGTCTCGCTGTATGAGGATGGACTGAGATTGTGAGAGGTTCTTGTTGGAACAGGTTCATAGATGTTCGTGTGGTCCATGAAAGATGGCCAGAATGGATGAGGAGACAGGTCTGAGATACGTGCCCTGGAGTGTCCGTCCCAGCGATTCACCATCTGGCGTCCGGTCGAACGTGCGCGCAGCGCACGTCGCGCGGCGCGCGACCGCGCGACTGAGCAAAAACACCACGGTGACGTGCGACGGCTCCGTTGAGTTCAGAACGCCACCGGAGTCTGGTAGTCTGGTCCAGTGCGAGTGGCACCTGGCAAGTCCATCCGTCCACGCTTTCCGAGGCCTCCCACCCAAAAAGCGCACCATGGCGCCGAAGCACGGGGAGAAGGATCAGACGAACCCGAACCCATCTTCGAACCGGATCAGAGGCAGAGGTTGAAGGACCCCAAGTGTTCGACTAATACCATAAGTACAGTGAGACTCACATGGAAGTGGACTACTTTCCTGTTCGTAACGGAAAGTCGTCTTCCAAGGAGGGACCATGCCATCCACTTCACATGTGTTAGTTGGAGTGTCGCTCAGGTGACTGAATCCTTTTTCAGGTCACTGGTCACCTCTGTTGGAGGCCCTTCGATCGAACGAGCGCGATTTCGCGTGCCCTTTCGACCCACAAGCGACATGGTGTCGGGAGATTCCCCAGACCGTTTGAGGGCGGTTTGAGCGGTTTGAAGGTTCGAATTCGCGACCTTCAGACAGCGACGTTCCTTGCAGTGAAAGACGTATTCTCAAATTCAGTCGTTGGCACAGAGTAGAGTCGGCACAATCCCCCAAAGGTCGGTGGGTTATATGGACTCCTATATAAAACACCTCTTTGGGATTCTTTGTACCATTCACTATACTGAAACCACTGTAGTCTTTTGATAGTTTGAAGCACCTTGGGCTCCAGGTTCTTGGGCTAGTGGAAAACACCTGGTGAAGTGATTTTCACCCAGAGAAGTGATGCTCCTCCAGCCAGCCAAGCTTGTGTCTTGCTTGAGGCTCTGGTCTTTAGGACTGGTTCAGGCCTTTTGCTCTACCCAGAGTGCAGGGTGTATGTAAAGCTATCGGCTCCTTTAGCCTCACCAGACGTGTCTATCGCGGGTGTCTATCTCGCACCACGCAGTGGGTGTTGGGGCGGAAGAACGTCGCGTCAAGAAGCGCTTCCGCCAGACCTCTTCAACGACTTCTGGGCCGAACGGCAGGCGGAGATTGCTGAACTAAAGGCGGGCCCGGCAGCGGGGAGGTCGGCTGACGATCAACAAGGAAAATCATTATCCCCCCTGCCCTAGCCCCTTCCTGCGGTTGTTCACAGGTGGACCATTCTGGACTTCCTTTCATAAGAAATTCAACATGCATCATGATTCAACAAATGTCAACTTGATTCATCTACTCTCCCCAAACTCCCCATTCTCCATTTAACGATCAAAACCACCTTCCAACGAAAGGGCCACGTTCCTGTTCTGTCTCGGTCAGGACTGGGTGGATCAGCCGCCTGAGCGGGTCTTGTTGCTCACGGGGCACCGGGGCAATGGCCTGCACGAGATGATGAAGAAGCTCATAGGAGCCCGGGAAGGTCCGAACCCAGGCTGACCCGAACCCAAGATCCGAACTGTCTGGGTGTCTGGGTGTTTTTCGGATGTGGCCACGGAGTAGCTTGTCCATTCGTCGGGCTGCCCGACGGTTCTTCCTTCCTTCGGCCACAGGCTGGGACATCCGCTTCATACCCCATCAGACAAACTCAAAGAACCCAGGTGCCGAACAGCAAGAGGATCCTGATGTTAAAAGATCTACTGTATATACCGTATACCATTCAATTAAAGGTATGAGTTTCACCAATATCGCTGCAACTAATGCCTTTGAGATTTCCAGAAGACCAAAAACCACTGTCGTCTTTTCTTCTTAAGGTCTTTGAAGTCTTCAACCCCGTCCAAAACCATCTACATTTTTCCACCTTTTCGCCCCCAAACCCGGACATCTCTTTCCTCTCGGAGGTCTGAGGTCCATGGGGATCGGGGTGATGCACCCGCGACGGTGCCAGGAGGACGGACGCTTGAGATCAACGTCCGAGACATGCTCGAGGCGGGCAAGGGAGGCAGCTGTGTTGGTCTAGTCCAAACCTCTCCTGCGAAGTGGACGAAGTGGAAGCACATGGAGATTCTAGAGCATAACCCTTCAGAAACCTTGTGAAGCGAGGGCAGATGAGCAGCAGTATTGTGTTCCAGATTGTAATTACATGGAGCTTTACTGGTTTCCCTTTTTAAGATATAGAAGCAACACCCACCAACCTCAGGGCTTTTGTCAATGCTTGAGAGGAGACCTCATCCATCCATTTACATCCATGCTTTCCGGGCCTTGCTCCTATCCGTGGAGATCCCAACCCATCGCCTCTCCGCCTGGGCGTCAGGCGGGAGGCGCTGCGGATGATCATCTGTTCCTCCGGGCTTTTAGCCGTGCTGTCGGCTATTGGCCCGCACAAGGCGTGGACGGAAAGGACACCACTGAGCGCAAACGGGTGGCGCGCCAGCGCACGGACTGCATAGAGGTGCGGAGGTGCGGTGCGGTGGTGTGTTGTCTTTGGTTGGGGGGGAGTCGTGATGGAGAGGCGGAGGGAGTAGGGTGGGGATGTTGGGGGTTCCTTGGTGCACAAGCAGAATGACTCAGGAAGCGTCATGGCTTTTGGCCGAGGCAGGAGGATCTGACGAGGGGTCACCGCGACAACCTCAAAAAGGACTGTGGGATTAGGATTATACTGTCAAAATGTCAGGAAGACTGCAACGCCTGATTCATAGACCCCCCCCAATACCATTTGGCCACAACATTTGCTTACCATCCCAAAGGCAACCAGACAGGTGATGCTGCTAGAGCAGCAACTGCTTCAGTACGATCGCCCAGAGTCCACGTCCGTGTTGCAGTGCGGACTCGCCTTTGGCTCGAAGAGCACCACCGACTGCCCGACCCGGAGAGACCGGAGACCACAGACCGACGGAGACCGGAGACCGCACCCATGGAGGACGAAAAGGAGCTGGAAATTCAGGTCTTCGGCTTGGATGGAGAGGGATTGGTGCCTTGATAACGAACTGATCACTCCGCCTTGATCACCTTGACGAGTGTTTACATACATGTTTTGGGTGCAAATAAGTTCCCCAGTGTGTGTGTGGGTATCGGGAGAATCGTATGCCTAAGGGCCATGTTCCACTTCCATGTCAGGCAGCTGGAGTGGAGCTTGTTCCTTTAGCAGGTGGGTTTGGAGCATGGTGTTGACTGCTACACAAGGGAGCTGCTGCTTGCTGCAGCTGTGGGTGCCGGATGAATCCAGCGGGAGTTTTTGCCATCAGTGAGACTATATACATGTTGGTGTGTAGAAGAGGGAGGTAGAAGAGGGAGAACCCTCCATGAATGAGTTTGGTTGTCTACTTAGAGGGCTAGCGCCTGCGGCCACCAATCCTCAGTAGGAGATGCACCAATTTTGAGGACGCCACATGGAGAGAGAGGTTTGTTGGGCTAAGGGAGCATGTAGCATATATATTCAAATACCAGTATTTCAAGTTTGAAGTATCTATTTTGCTTCAGCAGCCTACCGGGTCTCTCCGCACTCCCAAATCGTTGTGGCTATCAACTCCCTCCATGTGATGAAACCGCCTACTCTCACCACACATACTCTCACTAGATCGCCCACCCCCCACCCCTACCATTTTTTCAGGACGAAGCCATGACCTAGGACCTAGGTTTGTCCTGAAAAAGGCAACGCCTTGCCCCGCCCCGATCCCAACACTTCCCCTCTGGCGTCAACGCGTGTCCGCACGTCGCGTGGGTCGAACGATCACATCCATCACCGCCCCACTAGACACACACACACACACACTGGGTGAACTGCGCCGCGTCTCCGAGGTCGGTCGGTTTGGTTTGAAGAAAAGGGTCCCAGAACACGTGGCACGATTCATAGGCTTTGTACCTTCAACATCCTTCCACTGTACTTGTCCTAAACGGTCTCCTCCAGAGGAGAAGTCCCTTTAAGACTACACCGGTGACCGGGGTGGACCGGTCACAGGTGCTCCACGTGGCTCCGTCCTGGACGGGGCGGCAAGTGCGGAAGGCGATCGCCCAGCGACGTCCGGCCAAAAGCGGTGCCAGAGTCCTTGTGCAAAGGGGAGCCGACACTCGTTCCAAGGGGGAGGTGAGAAGCAAACGTTTGATTTTTCGGAATCGTTTGAGGTAGAATCTAAGATATTTCTCCTTCAAGCTTCAGATCAACTCGAGTTTTTCCTTTGCTGTGTTGTGTGGCTAAGTGAGGAAGCGGTCTTGCCACAGCAGAGCCTCAAAGCACAAGGGCTTGTTGATGATGCCATTTTGTCCTATGTCTACGAACCCGCTAGCTTGCAGGATGCCTGGAAACTCATCCACGGCTATCCCGTTGATGACGCGTCCATGGCTTTAGAGTCTCACCAAAAATCGGCAGATACGCTTTCTATAGTGGTTTCCACGTAGGCAGATGGTTGTCGAATTCCCTTCTACAGGGCCTTTGGTCCAGTCGTGCCTATTTGCAGGGAGGTTGGTCGCAACTCCTTTGGACCGTTTCGCGCCAGTAAGGAGGGCGTCACTCAGCTGGAAGGAATCTCCGAGGAAGCCTTCGAACGGCTGGGGCTCCATGGAGAACGCCTGCCGCGGAGCTTGGAGAGTTTCAGCTTCGCCGCAGACTTCAACGCACTGTTGGAAGGAGTAGCTTGGCCTCAGGGACTTCGAAGCCTGGTCTTTGGGCATAGCTTTAACCAGAGTTTGGAGTCAATGTCGTGGCCAAGCAGCTTGGAATTTTTGAGATTTGGACATGATTTCCAGAAGACTTTGAAACGAGTTGCCTTCCCCAATTCATTGGAGAGCTTGTCGCTGGGACATGGCTTCAATGAGCCTTTGGAGCAGATCTCGTGGCCGAACGGCCTTCAAACCCTGAGCTTGGGACATGAGTTCAATCAGAACTTAGAGCGAGTGAGCTGGCCCAGTACCTTGGGCCTTGCTGACCTGCAGAACACTTGTCCTTTTTGGAGGGATGTTGTTGATCTTTTCTCTTCGAGTTCGGAGACCAATGCGCAAAGCCTTGGCCGGTTGACCCGGAACCCAAGAACCCAGCTCCTTCTGCCCCTACGGGTCCAAAACCAGTGGAGGGGTCCCGCCACCTCTTCTTTTCTTCTTTTCTTCCGCCCGATCATCAGCGGAAGGCGACTTGAAAAGTCTGACCTTTGGCTGGGAGTTCAACCAGGACTTGAAAGAGCTCAACTGGCCGCGCCATCTCCAAAGCTTAACCTTGGGCTGGTCCTTCAACCAGCCTTTAGAAGCTGCTCAGCTATGCAAAGGCTAGCTGAGACTGACCGGTCTTGACCTTGACACAGTAGATGGTACGTGCCTCGTGCAAACAGGTCTTGTAGATGGGGGTCCCCAAAACCTAAAAGAGATTTGTACCTTGGAGGTACATGCAAGGGTTCCCAGTTGTACACTCTGACGAACACATGGACCATGGTTACGTGGAACATGGATGAAGATGGTGCCTTGGAAGTCGACTTTCGTTTACAAACCAAGCTATTGTCCACTTCCATGTTAGTCAGCCCACTTTTAATTTATAACTAGTGGGCAGGTCATCCGCTAGGTCATATTTTAATTCACTTTATGGATGGGTTTTTCATAAGTGTAATTGTTGTTATTTTTGTGCATCTTTTAGCTGTTTCATTTCCGCCGAGTGAACCCAACGACCGAGGCCGTCTCCTGGCCCAGCAACCTCCAGAGTTTGACCTTCGGCGAACAATTCAACCAGAGCTTGGATCAAGTGAAGTGGCCTCCCAGATCCTTGTCTCTGATTGATGACGTCCTAGTTCTTCAAGTAGTTTTTTTGTAGCAACTCCCCAAGACCATGTCTAGAGCCCCAGCTCCAAAAAGGCTTCAGAAGGTAGGTGGAGACCTCAAGCCTCAAGCCAAAGAAGGGACCTGTTTAAGCTCCCCACCGTCCGGAGTATTTGGCTTCCTGTTTCAACCAGGATTGCGAGATCTTTCATTTGGTTTCAGTTTCAACCAACATCTCGAGCAAGTTGCTTGGCCTCGGAGTCTAGATACGCTGACTTTGGACTTCAGCTTCAACCGGAGCTTGGGAGGTGTTGCTGCGGCCCAAGGTTTAAAGACTCTGACCTTGGGCAGTAGCTTCAATCAGAGTCTGGAGGAAGTACACTTTCCTGAAGCCCTTGAAACATTGACCTTCGGTCGTGACTTCAACCAGAGCCTCCAGAATGTGACTTTTCCTCAAAGCCTCCGCCGTTTGATCTTGGGTGAACGGTTCAACGAAGGTCTCAGACATGTGAAGTGGCCAAATAGCATGCAGAGCCTCACGTTTGGCAGGAATTTCAACCAGACGTTGGAGGAAGTTAATTGGCCCAACAACCTCCATTGCCTCACTTTTGGCTGGTGTTTCAATCAGCGTATGGATGACACCTGTTTGCCCTATAGCCTCCGAAGTCTCTCCTTTGGCGTTTGTTTCAACCAGCCCTTAGAGCAAGTGCACTGGCCGAGTTTGCAAAGTTTGACGTTCGGCAACCACTTCAACCAGCCTTTGGACGGAGTCACCTTGCCACAGGGCCTTCAGCACTTAGCCTTTGGCTGGGAATTCGATCGATGCATAGAGCAGGTGAAGTGGCCTCAGAGCCTTCTGAGTCTCTCATTTGGCTGGACCTTCAATCGAGCAATTCAGGGCTCATTTTTGCCTGAGAGTCTGCAGACCTTGGTCTTCGCTGGCATGTTTGATCAGAGTTTGGAGGGAGTGGCTTGGCCAAAGGGCCTCCTCAGCTTGACGCTGGGCTTCCACTTCAATCAATCCTTGGAACAAGTGACTTGGCCTCCAAGTCTGAGGAGCCTAAGCTTGGGCATGAACTTCAATCAAAGCTTGGACCAGGTAGGCGGTTGGGGCAAGGAAAAGTTCCAAACACTGGGAGAAGGAACCAGGTTGCAGAGAATGATCCTGAGTTGCATGATGTACAGTATTATGAAGGTTTATACATATTCAAGTTTCACAATGCCAAGATGAACCGCATACGATCCTTCACATTCCTTCACACCTGTTTACACCTGGTGGTTGTTCCATGTCTTCCCTGTCTTCGCTTCACCACCTAAAGCCTTACGGACCGAGACGCGTTTCTGCTGCGGACCTCCCAAGACGCGCCGTCTTCGTTCTGTCACCGGAACGGGGTCACAGGAGCGTTGACCTGGTCTGTTCGTGTTGGGTGAAGAAGTAAATATACCTCACTGTGGCAATATACCTCCTGTTGTGGTGGTCTGTTCATGTTGGGCAGTGAAGAAGTACATAGGGCCTACCTCACCGTGGCAAAGACTCGCGGCGCTTGCAGGTGGCTCTGCCTGGCAGTCTTCAAAGTTTGACCTTGGGCCATGGCTTCCAACAGAGTTTGCACACGGTTCGATGCTTCCCCCGTCACTTGAGACGACTGGTGTACAAAGACTTGGTCATTTCAGCATGAAGATTTCGCACCCGCGGCAGAGACCGGAACGAACTTGAAGTGAGGGCCGGCGCGACATCTTTCCCGTGCGCGACATCGAAGGACTACGTGTTGACTGGAGCAACTGGATCGAAGGACTATGTGTTGGCCGTTTGTTACCCAAGTGGGCAGGTCGATGATGGAAGTTCTGCAAATTGGATACAAGACTAGATGAAAAGGTAGGAGAGAATGAAGGTACAGGTCCACTTTGCGAATCACATAGTGGTCCTAGTGGTCGTGTTGCCATCATTCTCAGGGTCCATTTGACGTCCAAGCCTGGACCATTGTCGTGCACAAATGTGTCGAGCACGAGTGAGTACGGTTGATGTTCATCCTGCACCTGGTGCAAGAAGCCTTGGCGATGCAAGTCCTTGGCGATTTTTTGTTGCAAGCAATTCTGCCTGCATGGTGGACGAGGGTCACATCGCGCCATGTGCCCATCCATATGGATCATATGCATCTTCTTCTCCATCTTTCTTTGAGGCAAAGAACTTGATGGCCAAACAGCCGAACCAGGCAACGTGCTAAGAAGCTGACAAAATGGGAGGAGATGGGAGGAGCTGTTCTGAACCTTTCCAACCACTTGGACGCTGATGACTGATGACTCTTACGACTTGGGTTTGTCCCATCACGTAGTTAGTAAACAATTATCACTGATACTGTACTATTTTAGATATTTTAGAGAAAAGCCTCTACTAGCAAACATCATCCACTGGGTAATATGATAGCCCCAACTTATGACCTGTTCGAAGAACAGGACATGACCGAGTTGGTCCCGACATAGAGGTTTCCAAGCATCAGGTTCTAGGCTTAATTTGTTTGTGAGTCATGGCCCACCAAAGAGGTTGACATCCCGGTCAGGAAGACACTGGCAACCTGGGGCCAATGACTCGGGGGTCCACTACTAAACCAAAGAAGACACTTGCGCTCAAAGAGAACCTTTTTCAGAGGTTCGATGACTAAAAGCAGAGTGTCATGGCGAAAACCCTGAAAACACATGGCGTGGTTCGGATGACATGCTGGCTCCTTGACACTGCCACCCAAAGATGTCCTTCTAAAGAAAAAAGGAGCTCCACGACGAACCCACTCAACTTGGGGGCCCGACATTTGTCCCATCGAACCTCAAGTCAACATCCGTTCTTTTTGGCGGGATCTTCACTAGGAATATAGAGATGTCAGCCTTAGGAACCTCACCATCATCCACAGCCGAAGACCGAAATCGATCCAAGATCTGTGCCTTTGACCCGGGGTCAACCAGCTGGGCGCGCCGAGCGTCGCACCGACCGGCGCCGGCGAGGGATGGATCGCCAGCTGTCGGCGGTGCTGGACTTGATGCTTCCGGGCTCAGGCGGGCTCCGGTCGAGTGGGCGGGGGGAAGATGAGAGGAAGATGGCCTGGGCAGATGGCCTGAACAAAAGGTTACACGGTTACACATGAATCAAGAGAGACACCTGGTCTGCTTCTATTTTGAAGAAAGCAGCAAGATAGTGCCAAAGTTTGGGTTCTTTGTTCCATCCTCCTCTCTGGGGGACAGATCCGTTGCCTCCAACTTCTGGGTGAGCAAACATTATGCAAACATACATGTGCCAAGCAGAACTGACACATCGTGGAATCATCACGGGCGTGGAAAACCACCTGTTCGTTACAAACAAAAAGCGAATTTCAGAAAGATCATTTGGACACCCCTGTTGTAGAGGGATATTCTCCACTTCCCATGATGATTCCAGGGAGTGAGGATGTTTCCACAGGGATTTGTCCAACTCTCTTCCGCTCTACGGCAGCGGGTCCAACCGCCCCCTGTCAAAAGACCCTGATCCTCCGCCAGTTCGGGTCAATCATGAACCCTCCGCTAGTTCGGGCGCACATCCCTCCAAAAACTCGGTGATGTTCCTTAACCCCCAAAGACTTGGGGATGCTTGGACCTTCTGACTCCTATGGTTTTCTTTCGTGGACTGAACACACCGACCAGAAAACCGGGCACTCTTCGGTCTTAGCCGAGATCGGTCCCCACCGGTCCCATCCGGGCACCACCCGGGTGGTCATGGTGGTCTGAGGACGACCGGGCGGACCGAGGCCAGAGGGACCCATCGGTGTCGGGCCAACATCCATGTTGGATCAAAAGCTGGAAAGCTTGTAGATAGGGGGGGTTTTCGGCCGACATCAGCTCCAAACCACTTGAGCAGCTGGCCCGAGCAACCAAACGACCAGTGGCGAGTCCGAGTTGCGGGGCCACGTCCGAGTTGCGGGGCTTGAAAGCCCTGGTTTTGTTGAACACATGGGATATTGAACTGGGGCAACTTTCAGTGGAAAAGGATGTACAGTGGTTCCAGAGTAGATGGCACAGACCCCATGATGTCCTGAACAGATGGGGGTCCATATAAACCACCGACATTGGGGTTTGCCATCTACTCTCAATCCACTATATACATCAAGGAGATTCTTCCGTACCTCTTCCAGTGGATCTCAAGAGCCGCATTGAAAAGAAAATACTTTATACAACTTCCATTTGGATGGTAAAGCTACACCCAGCTGATGCCAAGAATCGCATTCTTTGGAGTCAGTAGTGTTTAAGCCTTGGGAGCTGGATGGAGTCCAAGTAATAGCTACCACTTCCTTCTTCCTTGGCCCAAGGCAAACAGCTCAGTCGGGAGAACGAGCTTCTGGTGGCCGTGCAGCGGGTGCTTTTCGCATCCACACAGGCAGGACCTGCAGCGGTTGAAGCTCCAGAGGGGGGGGGCAACGGCAAAGATTTGAGCATGTGAGCGCCTCCTCCATGTTTTGCGGTTAGTTACGCTTTCAAAACGCGTGTACAACTAGGAACTGTGTCTGGGAACTGACGCCACTTGCCCCATGCGCGCCTCCATGTGCCACCTACTTAGCTCCACATCCATGAGAACTATGTAGAATTTCTTGCTTAGAGGGGGTGCGCAGGTGTGTTTGCTCCACATGGTGCACTTACCGTGTATACATGCATTGTATCGCATGTCCTGCCAGCCCTGCCTAAGCGCTTCAAACGTGCCACAACACCAAACCACGACCTGCTGCGCCTCGCAACGGAAGACGCTTCGCTCTTCATCCAAAAGACCCCAAAGAAAGACGCTCCAAGAATCTTCGTCACGGCCTAAGTCACATATGCCCCCAAAAACGGAACGGACTCGACTTCCTGACCCGTTCGTCTGATCCGTGAAGAGGTCCATTGGGGTCACTGAATTAGCACATCCACTTCAGACCGCCGCCTCGATCTCTCTCCGCTTTTTTGCGCACCGCAACCCGTGTGCCGACCGAGGCGCTCCAAGCGTGGAAAGCGCGGAGCTCGGCGTCGTTGAAGTTCGACGCCACGCCGTTGATCCTGATCACGGGCTTCACCTCCGAGAACAAGGCACCCTTCGAGAATAGTGCCGTTTTTTGGTGAAGAAGGAGGATGGAGAATGGAGGATTTCCCCCTGAAAAAGAACTTCATGAGTGTGAGCCTGTCAAGGTGGGATAATTAGCTAGTGCATTATGATAAATTATGCTTTAAACAAATACACACTTATAGAAATGCGTACTGATGTGAATGCCGCTCGCCACACGGCAACCTAAGAAACCAAATCCTGAAAAGACAAGAGGGGTCTCAGTACCTGTAGTTAAAGGCCAAAATCCAATGCCACGAGACGACGAACAGGTCGAAGTGACGGCGGTTGCCCTTGTCTGCAGAATGCATTAGCCCTTTGCGAGAGATCAATTAAACAATTTGGCAGGTACGTGACTTGGCGTCCCAAAGTCATTTCACAACACGATGGAAGAGTCTTCGTTGGGCAATGCCTTCCAAAGTGTTCATTGCCCCCCTGCAAATCAAGCAAACATCAAAACAAACAACAATCCAACCGGATCCCTGTGACTCCAAGGGGTACACACACAGTGTTGTGGTGAAGAGAAATCCGATGAAACTTTGAACATCCAGGGTTCCAGGTTTGGCTGCTTTCGTTCCTTCTTTAAAGTCCAAGACATCCACGATTTTCCAGATCTTTTGTTGACTTCCCGGGTGCGACATGAAGGCTCCACGGCTCCGCTCCAACAAGCATGACGAGAATGGCGCCATAGAAAGAACCATCTCGTTGCTTCATTCTCATGGTGTCGCCCTCGGTGCCCGGGTTGAGGTTCCGCCAGGTTTCACCGTCACCCGGCCGCGGCTTACGCCAGGACCGTCGCCCGGGCTTCTTCGAAGCCCTGGTGAGCTGGGCCGCCTATGCCCCTTCGGCCGTAAACAAACACACGAGCCCGGTGGGTCGGGTTCCACGAGCCTGGTGGGTCGGGTGATCATACATGAACGAACGCACGAAGAAACACACCACCTGACCGTTCGTGACCCTTGAGATCTCAGTGGGTCGGTCACGACCGGGCCGGTTAGGCCTTGATTTCAGGTCACCGTTTTGACCAATCCTGAAGAGGTCACGAGTTCACGAGTGGAAGGTCCTGGCAGACACCGTTTCTGAATGTTTCTGTTTTTTTTCTTTTTTTTTGGGGGGGGTTTATATTTTCCCGGATGAGGATGTCTTACTTTCCGAAAAAAAAAAAAAAAAACAGTCCCACAGCCACTCCGAGACACTGGTGATATACCTTTCTGCAGCGCTTTCGCTTTTGTCGGGCGCGGTGTTCCTACGGTCTGGGCCTCGGGGGACTGGTGGATCAAGTCGAGTTCCACCTCTATCCTTACAGGTCCTCACTCTCACCAGGTAGCGAGGAATCTGGGCGAGATTGGCCATGGAATGCAAAGATTGAATGCACAAGCTGCGGAGCATCACATCACCTGCTTTCGCCCAAAAGCCCCAACTGGCCAACTGGCCCCCTTCGAAACAGCATGTTGGGCCGCTCTGGAAGAGAGACCTCTTGAAGAGTAGGGTCAGAATCCCGAAAAAGACCACCAGGTGGCCGCTGGCCCGTGAATGCGCTGGTGGCCGGTTTCCATTGGCCAACCTCGCAGCCACATGCTGCTTTCGAATTGAGGTCACCGAAGCCAAATTGGCTCGAGTGGTCTTCGTGGCGGCATCTTGGTGCAGATAAGAGGATCTTTTTCAGGTCCAGGCCAGGCAGTATGTCAGATGCTGTGTAAACATCCCAGAAGATTCCCAGTGGTGGTTGCCCCTCGACGACGATCAACCAAGACTAGAATTTAATACCTGAATTGCCATGCTGCGCTGATATGTTTTAGTCTTCTTTGGGCATGATGAATCCCGGCAATGGCAGAAGAGTGAGTAGACAGGGGAACTGTTCCCCCTGTTTAGTTTTCTGACGGGCTCGCGGTCTCTACGCAGCCCGCCCAAAAACACCCTCTGACTGACTCTATGAAGATTGTGGTTCCCCCTGGTTGGTGAAGACCTCGACCTGGTTGCTTAAGACCTTCAGACTCACAATTGGACTCACCGACTCGCCATCGATGGCCATCGCATCGACCGTCTCCGTCCTCAGGACTCGTCCTTTGGAGAGCCTTCCATCTTAGCACATCTGAAGGATCGGCCCGAACGACTTTCCGTGTGCCTCGGTCAGAGATTTGGAGCGGTCGGTAGAGACAGCCAGATGGTGCTGGCGCCGTGGCCAGTGACACACCGCCGCGGGGTGCCTGGCGCCGCCGTGTCAGTCGGAGCATGGCTGCCCGTCTTTCCCTTCAGGTTGTTGCAAGGCTAAACTAAACACCTAACACCTTCATGCACGGCCTATTTAGGATTGCAAGCATTCTTTTGGAGTTTGTAAGGTAGCATCTCCTGTCGACACCTGCCCAACCTCGCCTTGCATTCTTCTGACCCTTTGCCCGGAGAATCCAACAAGAACAGTATTATTCCGAGAGAGGTGAGCCCAACCTAGTTTAAACTTCACACTTAGCTTATGAAGAACCAATTGGGGAGTATAGAAACAAGCAACATTTCTCCCAGGTCAAACCTCCGTGTGTGAGGTCCTATAGGGGTACTACCTGGTAGCCCGCTATGTGGATGTCACATTAAAAAAAGCCAGAACCAGTTGGTGGATTCCTTTTTTGAGACATCTGGCCGTGAGTCAAAACCTGGAGCCCCAATCCCTTTTGTCTCTTGACCTCGTAGTAGGTCGTCCATTCTCTTCATTGGCCGTGAAAAAAAAAACCACCAGGGTGTCCAACGTGAAACCAACCTGCTCACCTCACCTCACCTGATGTGCGCCGCGCCCGTGCACCGACCGCGCCGCGCCCGTGCACCGCGCTGCGCCCCGTGCCGTGCCGGTCGCGGCGCCGAGGTTCGAGGTGCAGGACATCCGCGCGAGCTCGGTGCGGCGGATCTTGCAGCATCACCTGGACGACACGGCCCTGTCGGATCAGCTGCTCGGATGCGGTGGAGGAGGGTGGAAGGAAGGAGGGGGTTTCGGAGGGGGTTTAGCGGTTGCGAGAGGAAGGAGCGACAGGTGGCGAGGGCGTTCTCTTCTTTTTTTCTCGGTTTAGGAGGGCGGTTTGGAGCGGAAGTGGTTGGAAAAGTCTTTTTTTTGGGGGGGGGGGGAGGGGCTCAAAATGGGATAGGTTGGTGGGTGGTTTTGGAGTGTGGTCTGATGAAGAGTTGTAGAGAACATCTGTTTCTATGTGATGGACATATGTTTGGGCATGTGCTTTCGGTACTTCGAAGGTTCCACATGGCGTTTTTTTTTCTATTTTTTGTTGGGACAAGTCGCTTCTTGTTTCCATGTAGCAAATTAGCTACCAATAGCGATGCCCTTGGCTTCCCGATGCGACGCGCAGCGCTTCGTGCTGCCGCGGCGCGGGTCGGGAGGGGTCGGGAGGGGGGTGGTCTGGCAGCCAGAAATCGTGGGAAGGGATGACCAAGGGATCGCATGGTCAGGTTCCTGTAGCGACCGACCAGTCCTCGTAGGTAGGTCAACCGGTCGGTATGCCATGGCTGCCACGACTTTCACGTCAGGGCCATGTTCTCTCCCCGCTCGCACGGCCGAAGTGAGTTGAGGGCCGATCTCCGATTCTGGAAAAGGTCCTGGAGATCTCCCTCAGAATGTGGCTCCAAAACAGTCCCCAGCCGCCACGATTTTCCGGTCACCCGTCGCATCCCTCGTCGTGAGTCGTCGAAACCGTGTTTCGGCCTGGCGGACGCTACAGGCAGCTGAAGGCCATCGGCGGACGCTACATGGACATCTCAGCCATGTTGGGTCACATGCGCCATGGGGTGGCGCCCAATGAGGCGCTTCTCGGCCTGCGTGCGTTGTGCACTTCTTCTGGAAATTTGGGCAGGGCCTGTAGGGCCTTGTAGGGTTAAGGGTCGGATGAGTGGGAAGGCACATCTTTACAAGGAAGTGTTTTTCGCGAGATCTTCGTTTGGGTCCGCGCTTATCACCGCGCGTCGGAGGCCGTCCGCTGGCTGCTGGAAACGGCAGAGGTGACCGTAAGGTGGATGGGGAGGGGGTTGCCGTGGATCTCAAGTAATGGATGTGGGTGGCTTTTGGAGCAACAAGATGTTAGGATTTTGAATGATATGATTGTGGAGCAACAACATGTTTGTGGAACACTTTTTAAACATGTACCTCCCAGAGGGGATTCCTTTTTTGTAGGGCGTTCTGATGGGCTCTCTGCCCAATTCCTGCTGCAAGCAGGCTTGTTTGAATCTAAAACATTTTTTGATACAACTTATAGAAGCTAAGCCTTATATCAACTTGTACAGAGCCAGCTCTACTCCTGAATCTCCCAGCAGTAACAGTTCACAACGATATCATCATCACGGTGATTAGAGGCCCCGCTGCCAAATCTTCACGCATTTGACTGACACAAACTCCAGTCCAAGGCTGGTCAAATAGTGTCTTATAGAGCATGTTGCTACCGACAATACGGGCTCTCGCTTCGATGGCATCAAATGAACGCTCCTGTTCACCGGGTCTGTTCGTTGGGTCTCCGACGCGCAGGCGCTTGCTGTTGACGGGGCAGCCCAATGCCCGCTGGACACGGCCGCAGCTTTGGAGGGCCATCCGGCTCTTAGAGTCCTCAGGCGCACGATGCGTTTGCGCGACGACGCAGGGGGTGGGACCCGAACCAAACCCTTCCCATTTGAGGGTCTGGATTCTTAGGTTTGCAAAAAGGTGAGTGCTGTAGGTTGGGCACCCTTTTCACTTCAGTCACCACAGTGGAAGGACCCACGAAGTTGACCTTCACAATCAACTGCTATACTGGAGTTTCGACGAACGAGTCTGCGGTGTTTCAAAAGATATTTGGTGTTTCCTAAGAATCCATGTACTTCAGTTTCTCCAACCACGAATCGTAGATCTGCCTCATCTTGCGACTTGTTTGACTCGCAACGAGTGATGCCATGTTTGGCTGACTTCCTGCAGAGGAACAGCCCCACACTGGACGGATTTCATGCCCCTTCGGACCTCTTGGGATGATCAAAACCCCAAACCTGTAGGCACGTCTCAGACATGGTGCGAAGCGTATTGGGACGTCCAGGTGTATAGGTGTTGGGTGACGTCCCAATAAACCTGGACCCAGTCGGTAAACAATGATCACAATATTTAACAGAAAGGCCTGCAACCTAACCATCATCCACTGCTACTGGCAATGGGATACACGTACGGTATGATGTTGTATGAAAGTGCACTGGTTGACGAGAATTTAGGCGCCATTTGTACCATACAAGCTCAGGCTCTCTCCGATGCGTTGCTCAACACGCCCATCCGGAACCCGGCGAAGCCTCCGCTGCTTCAGCCGCCATGGATGGCCGTGCCGCGGGCTACCCGAGTGATGCGTCCATCGATGGACGAGTGGAGATCGAGGCTTGTGGTTTGGATGGAGAAGTCGTTGTGCCCCGAATGCATTCGAAGAGGCCCGGAGGATTCAGGGATGGCCTCCAGAACCGGACGCACCTTCGGCGGTCCGGATGAACCGATCACTCCCTGGGTTTGGATTCTTTCTTTTTTGTTCTCGGGTCCGGTCGGCAGGATCCGACATCTCGTGTTTCCGTTGGGGATGGAACAGATGGAATGGTGCAGTGACACAGAAGAAAAGACTCCACTTGTAGAGGTAAGACTTCTCCGTGCCCAGAAGTCTCTGAACATCACCGAGCTTTGTGGAGCGAAACGCAGAGGGAAGATGCAGGTGTCGGGTCTGGAGCGGAGTCAGACGGACTCAACGTTGTCCCAATCTTCCGTTGTTGGAGCCAGAGCAGTATGCAGGCCTTCCTCCATCTAAAAAGCCAACATCACCAGAACTAAAAAAAAGAGATCGAACATCGGAACCTGGGGGAATCCTGTACCTTCCAGATGCCCACAGTCAGTTTAAACCTAAAGATCGAACAACGTGAGCCAGTGGCCTTGAGGTTCCATATCAATTACAATATATATAAGAGTTCAGTCATGCCTAAGTGGTGGATTCTATGCAGCTATTTGGAACATGTCTTTGGAGCTCTGAGAGCTTTTTCATCCCTTCGCTGACCCATCTGGAACACCCAGGTGCTGCGTGTGCCCGAGTCGCTGACCGGCGCAGAACTCCGGCAGAGGCTGGCGGAGATTCTTCCGCGGAAACCTGGGACCAGAGCCGTGGTGCAGAAAGGATCTGTGACCTGGGTCTGCAAGAATTCTGTTTGTTCTTGACACTTCTCACACACACATTTATTTGCGATTTCAGTGAAAAAAGAGAGATGTTGGATGAGCGAAACTCCAACTATAGTAACTAATAGGTAGTATACAGGCATTGGCATTGGTGTTTGTTTCCGTTTCTTTGCTCGGCCCATTTGGAGCTGCTGCCGTGTGGAGAGCCACGGTCACCAAGGCGATGCTTGAGCCGCTGAAGACTCTGAAAGACCAAGGGCTCGGTGCAGAGGCCACAAATGGCACTGGCATGACCCGACGACAGGTGTCCTACCTCTATGAAGCTGCGAATTTACAGGATGCCTGGAGATGTCTCAACTCTTTGCCGGTGGATGAGGGATGCGCCCTGGAAGGGGTGACGCACCTAGAAGGACTCAGCCACTTGCATCAGCTGGCGGACATGCCCAGCAACTTGCGGAGCTTGACTTTCGCCTGGAAGTTCAACGCGAGCTTGGCCGGAGTGACCTTACCCAGGGAGCTCTTGAATCTCACCTTCGGCCGCTTCGACCAGAGTTTACATCAACTCACCTGGCCACCGGGCCTGCAATGCCTCTCATTTGGTCACCACTTCAACCAAAGCTTGGAGCAAATCACTTTTCCTGAGAGCCTTCAGAGTTTAAGCTTTGGGGATCACTTCAACCAGAGCTTGCAGCAAGTGGTGTGGCCCAAACACCTCCAGAGTCTGAAGTTCGGAGATCACTTTAACCAGTCCTTGGAAGGAGTTCTTTGGCCATCGAGACTACAGAAGCTCACCTTTGGGAAAGCCTTCGACCGGAGCTTCCTGAGCCGAGCTTGCAGTCTTTTGTGTGGGCGGGGTTTTGATGCTCCGGATCCAAAACCCAATTCGATGCAGAGAAACACATCCCAGCACTACCTACTTGGGTCATTTAGGTCATTTAGGTCACCAAGCTAGGGTGCATGCATCGGAGGAGAGAACTTTCCGCTGTGGAATCCAAGATTTCTGGGAAGGAGGCTTTTGATATACTGATATACTCATGATTTTTTCATCCCCATTGATTGGGAATGGTTATCCAGGTTTGGAGCAAGTGGTGTGGCCAGAGAACCTTGACACCTTGAGCTTCGGTGAAAGATTTCAGCAGAGTCTTGAAGGAGTAGCCTGGCCCAGTGCCCTTCAAAGCCTCGTCTTTGGAAAAGACTTCAACCAGAGTTTGGAGGACGTGACGTGGCCAGCGAGCCTTCAGAATCTGGGCATGACGCATAACTCAGCTCCTTTTCAAAGGGATTGACGGGGGGTCACCGACGGTCACCAGTGCTTCGCCCCCCCAGAAAACCATGCACGGCGCTGAACCGCGTTTGGTGCTTCCGCCTGTTGCTTTGCTCGCGCGACACGCGCAGCGCTCGAGGAGTGTGGTCCTGCGCGATCGGTTCAATCAGAGCCTGGAGCGAGTGACGTGGCCCGAGGGTCTGCGTGGCCTTGGGCTGGACGAGGATTTCGACCAGACATTGGACCCCTCGAGTCTGCCAAATTTGGAGGGCTTAGCACTGGGAATCTTGGGTCAAAGATGGAGATACTGACGGGCAAAAGGGGGTGAATGCGCTTAGGGATGGCTTTTAGAGTAGGATCGGGATCAAGAAAGCTTTTTGGACCAGGGGCGGTTTCGCAGTAAGGAATTACTTGGAAGCAAAGCTGCGAGGAATTCGCATGGCCTCCAAATCTGCAGAGCTTGCTGTTGGGTGGCGACTTCAATCAGCCTTTGGAGCGAGTGACTTGGCCTTCGAAGCTGCTGAATCTCACGTGGCTCGACGGAAAAGCTAGCGTGGCCAATCCAATGATCAATCAAGGCTTGGGGCCAGTTCCTACTCGCACTCACTTGGATGTATACCACCCAAACCAGATGTACCACCCAAATATAGGTTGATTTTCCAGATCTGCTGCGATCGCCGGAGATCGCTAGTGACTGGGCAATTTTTAGGTCCCACTAATTACTGACATTGGAGTGTTTTCAGGCCGCAAGTTGGTCCTCTCTGAACAGTCAAGGTTGGGCAAAGACTTTAATCAGAGCCTTGTCTGCACTGGTCACCCAAGCGCACCCGATCCAGAGTGTGGAGGGCTGAACCCTCGTATTTCAGATGGGCTTGCATGGATCGTGGTTCTATCCTTCTGTGGAAGGAAGAACCCTCAAGAAAAACTCCAAGGAGTTTCTAGTGATGAAGATCACCTGACACCAGGAACACCCTGAGAATGTTTCAAGGCGTTCTTCTCTCCAACCGAAGGGCCTGAGGCTTTAGGGAGTGGGGGCATGGTCAGTTTGCAGCACCAAGGAGCATAGAGGGGGTGACGTGGCCCAACAGCCTTCGATACTTGGCCTTTGGCTTTCACTTCAACCAGAGCCTTGTACGCGTGAAATGGCCTAGCAGCCTGCAGATTCTGAACTTTGGTGTTCATTTCAACCAGACTTTGGAGGAAGTGGCTTGGCCGCCAGGCCTGCAGAACTTGACCTTTGGATACCATTTCAACCAGAGTTTACAGCAAGTCATTTGGCCCAAAGCCTTGCAGATTCTGACCTTTGGCTTTGGTTTTGACCAGACTTTGGAAGCAGTTCAGTGGCCCATCAGCCTAGAGAGCCTCACCTTCGGCCACAACTTCAACCAGCCTTTGACAGAGGTGACCTTCCCCAGCAGCCTTCGGAGTATGCTGGTTTTGCGCATCCGGGTGATTTTTTTTCCTTTTCATCGAACTGGTTGTATAAAGCCCCTAATTCACCTGGGGGAATATGTGTTTTCCAGGTTCCTGAGGAGCAGCAAATCCAAGGTATCACATTTGGGAAGAGCTTCAATCAGACTTTGGAACACGTCGCCTGGCCCAGCCATCTGCAATGCCTCAGCTTTGGACGTGACTTCGACCAGACCTTAGAGCCAGTGACGTGGCCCAGCTGTTTGCAGATCCTCACCCTGGGCTTTCGATTCAACCAGAGCCTTCAGCGCGTCGCCTGGCCGCCCCAGCTGCAGAGCCTGACGCTGGGCTACCTGTTCAACCAAAGCTTGGAGAACGTCACGTTACCTCGCAGTCTCCAGCACCTCGTGGTCAAAGACGTGGTACTCAGTGCTTGTCAGGAACAAAAGCAGGCCGCAGCCCAGCATGGCCCGACCTACAGCTGTAGCGGTGGGTTGGATTTCATGGAGAGTCGGGATGGTTAGCGAACAACCAAGTCCGGTATATGGCAGTACATTGTGATACGTACCAGGACACTAGGTGAAGTAGAGACACCTACAGGCGGTCGATACACCAGAATCCTGCACCACGAAAAAGTAGAAGAAACCAGAAATGTAAGTCCCTGGTCCAGCTACCTGGTATCAAGAGTTCACATTATTTTTTCAATGTCTTTCGTTTGGTTTGGTTGCCAAGAGGTGTGCTCGTTGTTATTGGACCTCTCCTTCATCGCAGTGTGGGGAAGGGAGAGTTCTGCCACCAGGGTCAATCCAATAGACTTCGGCCTGGGAAGAAGCACTAAGCACCAGGAAGCCAGGGATGTGTCTTTTTGTTTTATTTGTTTACATCGTGCTACATGCTTACAGATGGTTCGCACATGAAAAGAAAATCGTTCTTTAAAGGGGAATTTGCGCTTTCATGTTCACTGGTCTGGGCGCCCCGCACACCACTTGCCACGAAAAACGGGATCCTTTGCATCGTTTTTGACTAGTGTAGGTCGTCTCTAATAGAAGCACGGACCTGGATGGACAACGGCCCCGAGTTCGGAAGACCCTTTTCCTCTGCCAATCAGGGGTGTATAGATGTCTCCGACGCTATTTTCAGGAATAGGCTTTGAACACGCTTTGCTATTGGCACACCACCGTTCTGCGAAGTGTATACATATGTTTATTGTATACCCAGAATTCCATGGCCAAAACCGCCACGCGAGAAGGACTGCGCTCTCGTTCGCCCTCTCTCCGCCGGACACTGTGCCCTGCCATGCCTCTCGACGGGGGCGATGCGGACGAAAGACGCCAGGGAAGGTGCCCTACGACGTGGTCCTCTGGGGCGTCTTCCGCGGCGACGAGGCGGCCTTGCGCTCCATGAAGGAGAGGTCCAGGTGGTGGTGGCTGGCCGGCCCCCCTCCGGGACCAGCGGAGGGACCGGCGGAGGAGGGACCGGGGGAGGGTGGAGGGATGTGCTTTGGGTGGTTTGGTTTGAGTCGTGGGGGGGAGCGGTCGGGAGAAGGAGAGGAGTGATAGATTCGATGAGTTATAGATGTGAGCTATCCAAAAGCTGAGGGTCTGGAAATGAGTTATAGATGCGTATGGGGAGATGAGGAGAAGCCCTAAGATTGGTGTGAAGATCATCGACAGTATGAGGCAGTCGTGTCTTCGTGACGGCTGTTGTTTGGTCTGCAGGAGTGCAGGGAGGGAGGTCAACACACAGCAACCAGTCACCACCTACGGAATGAGCCGAATTAACTGGTGCTGAGAACAGCTGGGGGACATGAATGCCACATCCCACCAAACCTGCTGGATGATCCAACATGTGGTCAACGAATGGTTTAACCCAACCCGGGTTGCTCTCAGAAATCTTTCCTCAACCAGGTGTTCGTGCCTTTTTCCCACCCCCAGCTTTCTATCTCGACACCACTCCGACCTCCGACTCACCGAACCCCACCGGACCCCGCCCGTCCGAACCCGCGGTCTCCTCTTCGACCCGGAGGAGTCCAACTTGATCGCGGTGAACCCGCGGAAGTCCGAGAGCGAATCGGCCCCTTCCTTGACCACCGCGGGCGCGTCGTACACGGAATCCGTGGTGAGCATGATGAGGGGGTGACGTTATGAGATGTTATATTAGTGCGGGTAGTGTGTGTGCGTTGTGTGTGTGGTTTGTGGGTTTGTGACGGAAGTGAAGTGGTGGAAGTGGCTCAGGGAACATCACCCTCATCAGCAGATGCTGCCAACCACCCCAAATAACCTTAGCGCTGTGGATTCACGAGCATGGGCGTGAGGAGTACGCTCCCTGAAGCCACTACCGGTGACGTGGAGTGAGTGAAAACCTGGTCGTCTTCGGGATTGAACATCGATCCTCTCCGACTTCTCGGGTCCATGCCATATACTCGTACCATCCACTGAACAAACCCAAGGACCTGATGTTGTGCGGAATCATCAGGGTGACGATGTATTTTCGAGTGGGATGACTAGGGTTCGCATGGGGAAATATATGTTTGTACCTTTTTTGCCCGGTTCCTGCATTCGATCGCCGCGGACGAACTGTCTTCGGCGAATGTCTAGAGCAAAAGTTCCTGGGAGCCGCAAAGGCAAGTCGTGGATGGTTACAGGGAGTCATCCAGCTGAATGGAAACTGGTCATCCATGGAACCATACCATCCACCCATCCACTTCACCAGCAGCAGCAGCTCGCAGCAGCTCGCAGCGACTCGCAGCTCCTGAGGCGCTCCGCTACGACGTGGAGGCCGGGAGTCCCTTGTACGCGGAGGTCTTCCGGCGCCTGGTGCAGAACGAAGGCTTGGGCGCCGTGCTGGACCTGGAGACCTGGTGGAGTTTGGTGTTGGGGATGGGGTGGGAGGTTGGTTAAGAACAAATGGAGCAGTAGGTGATTTAAAGAGCCGTACTTGTGAACTTGTGGGAGGGAGGAGAAGGTTAGAGTTTTTGGTGATTGTAGGTTTACTTGGAGGGGATCAGTATGTGAGATTGAAATAGCCCGATGTTTCGAAAGAGGGAGTGGCAGGGTAGTCGAACAGAGGATATTCAAGGGATATTCATGTACCAGGTGATTTGGACGTGTAGATCTGAGACCCATACTTCCTAGATCGGGCTTTCAACCAATGGGTTCTCAACAATTTTTTTCCTTTTGACACAGCGGCTCTTGGTGTTCCGGATGTGACAAGGCGTTGACACTGCGTATGTACCCTCATAGTTAGTTCACTCTTCAGTGCTGCCACCCTGCAAGAAAAGGGGGACCGGGCCCACGAAAATAGGTGGTATATCCCAGGTGGCTCAGCAACTTGACTTTTCTGTACAAAGTGGTCGTATTGTGTTAGGAGTCTCAAACCAGCCCCAAAAGTGAGCTCATGGCTCCAACAAGTAGATGATGTAGATGGGTCTCCATGTTCAGACTGAGGCTGAGACCCTATAGAAGTGACCTTTTCCCCAGTCTCACACAGCAACCTTGTGACCTCGTGATTGGAACTTGGAAAGATCTACTGTACATGAATCCACTCTCCAAACTCCTAGGTTTCTTTGTCCTCCCACCACTGTCTTTCAGAAGACTAGCCACGCGCCTTCCAGAAGCGCCTCCCCTTCCCGCTCAAAACGAGATCCAACGGTGCCCGCCTAGGAAGTGGCGAAAGAGGAGAGATGTGGACGGTGTGGAAGGTGGAACACCTTGGGGGTTCCGTTGTTTTTACGCTTGTTGAACAATTATGCTTGCTCTTTACCTTTGGCTTCTGATGGCCCTACTGCAAACATGGCAAACAAACATGTCAACAGTTGCAACCAGGTTGTCTGAAGACACTAAGCTAATCGGTGGTTCCTCCACTGCCAACAAGGTTTAGTAAGTCTAGTGCTTCTGCTTCTCCTTTTTGCAAGTACCCAAACTCTCCTGCAGCACCAACTGCTAGGTGAAGCAAAAACCTGCAGACGTGATATTCTCTCGAACTCTGAGTTTCTTTTCTCGCTCTTTTAATTTCAACCCGACAGATGTCGCGAGTCAACACCCCCAATGAACGATTGTTTTGGTTTCGCTGGAGCAGCTACTGCACTGCGAACAATTGCATCTGTCTCTTGTAGGGTCTTCTTCCTTTATCAGAAATGCCGAAACTCGACTCACCAGTTCTAACACCAAGGGATGACCTATCAAAGCCAAGAGAGTACGAACATGGACGAAATCCACACAGGACTCAGACGCTTTTTCCACGACTTCGACGTCCTCTCTCGCTCAGCCGCCCTGCCAGGACGTGGCACGAGAGCAGAAGACGGTGGACCTCTACGAGGCAGCTCTGGTGGCATGAGGGAGTTCGACCAGCTTTTTGCTGGAAGCTTTGGCGGTTCTGCCATGGTTTTGGGGGTGCAAAATCGAAAACGGATTTTCATGGATTCCTGGCTCACCATTGATTGAAGGCTGAAGGAATCTCGAACAACCATGGTTTTACTAAGGGTATTACACCACAGAACCAGCTCAACCCTTCTTTTGGTCTTGGAAGGCTCGAGTTGCTGTACTCCAAACGATTCGCTTCTCCAAGAACCGTCCGTTTGACCAACTCCTCCCGTCTGCTGCCGACTCCTCCGTCCGTCCTGCCGACCTCCTCCGGTCAGGCGGAGCTGGTGCGGCTGGAAGAGATCCTCGACGCCCGAAGGGACTGGTGGTTCAGCTCCAGGCGCCACACGTGCAGGGGCGCCACACCCCAACACGCGAGCGAAGAAACCTTCCGCCGTTCGGGAAACCTTCCGCCGTTCGGGCGGTTTGGAGAGGAAAGCGGAGATGCGGAGATGGAGTGGAAACGAACGAAAGGGGTGACGGGCACTGACAAGTACCACCTGAAACCCGGGTAGGACGGGGACGGTTGAGGACGGTTTAGGACGATGGTTTCGGCATCGGGATCATCGGGTGATCGTCAAGCACGTCAAAGATCCTAGACCAGAAGAAACGATACATACACAGAAGACTAACATGGACCCTGAAAATCACTGGTTGGTAGAGGAAAACCCTCTTCCATGTTAGTTTTCGGGAGTGTAACTATAGACTATACCCAAACACCAGCACCCGAAACAACAAGCGTTTCCTGTTGACCAGGTCGCTCGTGGCCGCACGCACGGGGCGGGGCATGAGCCGTCGAGCCGTGGGACCTGGTCCTGGGATCAATAGCACCGGAGCCCTTTGTCGTCGTGTTCCCAAAAGGACATCATCAAACAATACCTGGACCCTCCTGTCGGGGTGTCCAATGACCTACCCCACACTACCTATAGGCTTCCATTGGGCACCCCCTTGGAGGGTCCTGGTATGACCTGGACCTGTGAATTGACCAGACGTTGCCAGCTGATGGCCAGGCGTCTGGATGCCCAGCTGGAAAGTCGAGTGGAGCAACTGGTGGACCTCATCATGGAGCAACACAAGAGCCATGGTCAAGCCTCGTTTTTTTAAAGTGTTTTTAAGCGCGGCTGGGTGATGTCATTCTATCCGAATCATGTTGGACAGTTGGGCAAGTCTGCTATGCAGATGAGAGCAGACTATTGTGTTGGGCAGTTGGGCAACTGATCGGCTCCTCCGGATGCTTCACAAAGGGATTCTTCACCTACTCAGTGGGGCGACCCCAAGACCTTGACGTCCGTGGAGACGGAGGATAAAGAACACGGCCACGGAATGTGCAGGTGCTCCCGAGCTGGAAAAAGAACACCCAGGAAGATCCACATGGAACCTGATGGTCTGGATCTTCGGAAAGCGCCTTTTTTTTCCGAAGACCAACCTGGTTTTTCAGGTTCCATGTGGGTCTCGGAAACCGGGGATGTTTTTGGAAACCATACCCGCAGTCAACAAAACCGTGAGCAGAATTTGTAGTCTTCGTGGGATGTTCACCGCAGCCGCAGCCTGGGTGCCAGGCCGTTCACACAGTGATCCTGCGGGGGCGAAACAGTCGAAATGAATCTTCACGATCAACTGGAATGCTGTTGAGGGGAGATCTCAACGTGGCCCTGTTCCTTGGTGATCAGGCTTGTCTTCGCACCGCCCAGGAAGTTAGAGAAGTACCACAAAGCTCGGAGGAAGGCCATGAACACCCTGGCGAAGCACGCCGATAGCTTTCAGGAGGACCGAGTTGGATGTGCTTTTCATGCGGAGACCGGACGGGTTGAGGAGTCGTGTGGGATGTTTGGGGATGGTTTGGAAGAGTGGGAGGGTAGCCCCAAACGCAGTGGGGTTTTAGATGGTTTACTCAGACGTCTACCCACCGTCTTCCACACGTGGTTTGGGATGTGTCGTTCCCCGAGGGACGCCCGACAAAACCTCTAGGAACTCTAGGAACGACCCCGGGTCGTTCCCCGAGGACGGCCGGTGTCCACCACCGAACCGCGGGGCGCGCACCGCGGACACCGAAAGCGGTGGAGGCGTCGCTCGGAAGCCTCTTGGGATCGGTTTGGAGTCGGTCTTGGAGGTCGTCAGTCGCTTCCTAGACCTAGACCCTGAAAGGAGTGAAGGGTTCACCGGCTAGTGCTAGTATAGTGTTGTTGGGAGGAGAACCACCCAAGAAATAACTGGCTCATCTAGGTTCTTTCCGTTTGCTATAAAGACAAGTGTACAGGACAAGGATGTAGTTTGGTTGGCCATAGAGACATATGTCCAGGACAAGACAAGGATGGAGAACCCATGAAACGATCGGCTCATCTATGTCTATGTAAATGGGCTTGTTGGCTATGAGGACTGGTGTAGAAGGATGCAGAATCCAGACGCTTGAAGCCTTAAAGCCCATGGCTTTTGAAGCTTCAAAGGCTCCGCTTGCATTCGCCTTGTAGGACGTGCGACGTGTGAAAGAGAAGGTCCTCGCTGGCTGATCATTCTCAAGGCAGGGTGTGATGTTGAAGTCAAATGCTGGGGAGGTTTTCAGTGAAATCCATCCGACCTGATACAAGTTCTAACATCCGAATCAGCCGGCGGCCCCATGAAGTATTGGCCTCGGTTGATCTTTAGGAGCCGTGGATGTCCTCCTTTCACCCATCCCGGTTGAGGGAGGACAGGGCCGTCGTTCACGTTCGCGTCTGGGAAGTCGAAGAAGAACGCAGTCTGACAGCTTCCCGTCCGACCTTTTCTGTTCCTTAGAACTTGGAACCACCAACATGGTTTCTATCGTTTGTTGGGCAGGTTTACATCCAACACGGTTGGAGGAGTTGAAGAGCCATGATCAACGACCCACACAGGTACCAGCGGTAGTCCGCGGTAGTATAGAGGGGATTCCAGTGACCGCAACCAAAATACAAAGAATAGACCACAGGAACCCAGAGATTTTTTGAGGCCTCGAATTCGTCGAAGTCGACTGGTTCAGTCCTGTTTGGGCATTATGAAAACAACAACCGATTTGAAGAGCCATCTATAGAATCTACGTTACTCGACTGCAGGCCACGTTGGATTGGCTACAATCCGGCGTCGAGGCACATTTGTGTTTCTAGTTGATTTATTGGGCTTTTCATTTAGATTTGGCTTGGTTGCGGAAGGTCCCGGGCATTGGACATAAGTTGAAGAAGAAGCCGAAAAAGCAGTGGGCACGGGTTGCGGCCTCAGTCAATAACAGTTGGCCACATGCTGTTCAGTTGCTTGCAGTTTCGTCTCAATCCAGGTGATCCCACCGTGGGCGCACACAGCGTACTACTAGGCAGGTGCTAGGAGGCAATTTTGTTTGCGCCAATCCAGAGCTTGATTGTGCCAGGCGCGGAAGAAGCCCACTCAGAAAAAGAAGACAGGGCGACGTGGAAAGAAGAGAGGGCGATGTCAGGAGTTGGTGTTGCCGGCTTTGAGGGCTGTTTTTTGACTTCTGCTTACCGAATCCTTTTGGCAGGACCGGCCATGGACAACTTGGTCCTTCCCGCCCAACACATCGACCCCCAAGCAGAAAGGTGGCTTCGAAGCAGTCGGGCGCCACAGACACAAACTTCTTTCAACGCCCTTCACCTTGTCAGACATGATGCCTGAGGCCCTGCCGCAACCGACGACCGCCAGAACGGCCCGGGCCTCTGGCGAGGGCCGGCCCGGTTGCGTTTGACAATCGGCTTTGTCAGGCGCCGGACGCGCGTTTCATGCGCCGCCACGGCCGCCACGGCCTCGCAAAGAACAACCCCACCGGTGTGGCCCTCAGGGGGGGTGTCCACAAATTTGCGACTAAAGCTTTTCGTTTTGTTGCAGGATCGACGGAGCCAAGCTTTGGGCAGCGGCCACCAAGTTTGGCCACCTGGACTTCTGGTGGGAACGTTTGGCGCCCAGTGGTCTGCGCCGCTTTCCAAAGCTTTGAAAGCAAACTTGGTCCCGGGGCGTCCATTCCTACCGCCCAAACTTCCGGTCCAACAAGGACAGGTTTAGAAGCAGTTCCCCTAGTTGGATTCGTTTCTGTCAAATCTGCCTTGCAGGAGTTGAGGGCGTGGGCACGCGGCAACACCGCGCGGCTCTCAACCGTGATTTAGATGGAATGGGAAGCTTTTACAAACATTCTTCTCTTTGCTTTGTTGTGGTCAGGACGGTTGCTTTTGACCGGGCCTTCCTCGATTCGCTTTTGGGCGCTTCCCCGAAGGCCTGCGGCCCCTTCAGCCGCCGAAGCTCCGGCTTCAGAGGCACGACGTGCCGCAACATCGTGAGTTGTGACAGGCTGACAGGCTTTCGGTTTGAATGGCAGTCCGGATACACAAGCTAGAAAGAATATTGACAAAAGCACTTTTCTAGATCGGGCTTTTGGTTGTGATTGTCTAGGCGTGGGGGTTTTTCCTGAAACAAAAAAATGTTTTGGTCGGCCGTTGTTGAAATACACAAAACTTTGCCGCCCATTCGTCGAGAAGCGTTGACGTTGAAACCAGAAAACGGCACGGCGAGCCAAGGTGCAAATATAAATTCCCCAAGCAGTGTGGACACAGCAATGGAAAAGCAGCTGTGCTTAGATCGCTGTGCCACGCGGGCGTGTCCGGCTAATCCGCTGCTATTTACAGTGCATTCATGCCCCTCAAGATCATCCACATGCATTTCGGCTGCGCAGGCTCGCAGAATCTGGGTGTCTGCGGCGGGTGCTTCCAACGACTGTCCTCTCGTTGCAGTGCCGTGCGCATTTTCACACATGGTGGTCACTTTTCGTGGCAGGCGCGAGGGAAAACTCGTGTTTTGGTCTCAAGTCGACTTTTCGCGCTTTTCGTGCCAGGTGCAAGGGATCTGAGCGGTTAGCGCAGATTTCGTGATTTCGTGGCAGGTGCAGTACTTTGGACGTGGTCGTGATCTTTGAGGCGCTCTGATTACGTGACAGGTGCAGTGAATCGTGACTTTTGGACATGTGGCTCGTTTGTAGATTTCGTGGCATGCGCAGTACTTCGTGGGCCTTGACGCGCAGATTTCGTGGCAGGCGCAGCACTTTGTGAACCTCAAGGTGCAGATTTCGTGGCAGGCGCATTTGCTGAACATCGAAGTGCAGATTTCGTGGCAGGCACAGCACTTTGTGAACCTCAAAGTCAAGATTTCGTGGCAGGCGCAGCACTTTGTGAACCTCTGAACCTCGAAGTGCAGATTTACAGCACTTTGAAGCTCGAAGTGCACATTTCGTGGCAGGCGCAGCCTCGAAGTGCAGATTTCGTGGCAGGCGCAGCGCTTTGTGCTCTCAGATGCTCTCCCTCTCACCCACACTCACTCTCACTCTCACTCTCACTCTCACTCTCACCCACACTCACTCACTCACTCTCACTCTCACTCTCACTCTCACTCACTCACTCTCACTCTCACTCTCACTCTCACTC